AAGACATTCTAGAAATTTATTATGTCGAAGCTCTCTTTTGACCACACATTTCTTTACACCCTTTGTCTTTTGGATACCGTGCTTCTTTTTAGGGTCTTCAGAATCTAGGTGATCAGGAGTTTTAGGATCATGCTCGCTGGAAGGACTGAGTACATCTTTGGCTTTAAGCATACCGTTTCCCCTATAGGTATTCTCTTTGTCTTATCCTTCATCAAAAATAAATCACCTGAATAGTTAAGATCAAAAATGTCTGGCCTCTCTGCTCGATCTCTATATATGTCTTCAGTTTCTATCTATATGATGAGCGAGTCTGTGTCAGTATAAAGTAGATGAGCCTTATCTCCATAGCAAGGCTTGATATAACTATACCAAAAGTTGAACATCATAGCCTTGCTAATATCGAGAATTGCCTGCCCTACATAGATTGGTTTATTTAGAGTTACTGTGCTTTTTAACATATAGACTGCTGTAATTCTTCCTTCAAATGCTTTAAAACCTACATACAATGGTGAACTTGTTAGGTGCCTGATTTTTTTATCCTCTTCTGTTCGAAGTAGCTCCACTCTCATATGCTTACATACATTCTCCATCTGTTTACCAAAGATGGTATTATTTTTTAGTTTATAATACATAACCCCGAACTCATCTCCATTGGTTTTTGCTATTTTGCGTTTACATATATTTTCCTTAATATATTTTTTCATCCATAGTGACTGCCGGAATTTGAGAGCGCCGTAGATCTTTGTAACCTTTATCCCCAATTTTATATATGACTGGAGTGCACGATAATGGACTACATAATTCTTTTTAGGATAAAGGGTCTGGACTAGTTTTTCACCTGTTATATATTTTTCTCCTCCTACTTCTTTGTCATGTACTAATCTTTCGTTATATGGGCTAAGCTAGTTTTCAGGTATTATTTGCTTTTCTGGCACTAGAGGGTAATTTGCAAATAAATCATGTAAGTGTGCTGGAACTTCTAAGTCTACTTCAGGCAGGGATGGTAAAATTGGAGGTCATTTGCCTTTTTTTCAAATGACCTAGGTCATTTCAGACTAAAATTCATAATAAATTTGGGGTCATTTGAGGTCATTTGAGGTCATTTGAAGGTCATTTGAAGGTCGTTTACCATCCCTGACTTTAGGCATATAGCCTATTTCTGCATCAAGCGCGATACTTTGTATATCCAGAACCTCTTCTGGGCTTATTTTTTCTAATATTTCTGTAGGCATGTATTGGGTTATCGCACCGGAATATAAGGCATTCATATCTTCATACATGATCCAAGATGTTGGTTTGCTTGGATCGTAATCTGGACATTGAGGATTATTAGCTTTAGCAAACCGGTGGCTTGCCATTGTCATGCCTCCACAAATTCCTCCCTCTACCATTAAGTACTCATCCATATTTGTCATAAGTTTTAGTTTGGCTCTACTACTTTTGTATAGGGAATCATTAAATATTCCTGGTGCTGAAACGTAATGCAAAGGATCTAAACCATCATCTTTTAAACACATGATAGTGTAGTTTATAAATACATCAGCAAGTAATAATACATCTGTCTCAAGGTAAAGATCATGATATTCTTTGAAACTTTTTATCTTAAATGTTTGCCATACTTTTTGAGCGTATTCATAATCCTCTTTACTGATATTTTGCTAACTAAGAAGCGAATAGAAATCCTTTCTAGACGGAAGGTTTGTTTTATTGAATTTATCCTATGTATTTGTCCAATCATATGGAAATACACCCTTTCGGAAAAGAAGTTTAATCTTTTCTATCGAATAACCTTTTTCAGTAAAATGCTTGATAGTTAAGGGAAATTTTTCAAGCTTTTCACCTAGACACTCAACTAATTTATCAAGTCCCATTGCCATGTGTTGAAAACTATCTAAGAATCGAAGCTGTCCTACATCCATGGCCTTATATTTGCTGATATTCTCTAGGATGCATTTGAGTTTATCAGCTGTAAACTTGCTCACAACTCTCATGAGTAGATGAGAGTCATACTCCCGGAAATTATAACAAATAAGAGGCACTTTAGTTTCAAAAGAGCCTATTCGCAATTTTTTGTTGCAAGTGTCATGAGCTGGACCTCGGTACTTATCACTTATATGGTCATGATCTTTTACTTTGTGGTTAAGAGCACTTAAAGCTTCTTGGTATCCTTTCTGTATTTTTTTCTTTTCTGGATGATCTTTTTCCATACATGCTTCCCATTCTTTAAGTTCTAGCAATCTATGCTTTGCCTCCTCAAATTGTTGCAATACTTCTGGAGATGGCTTAATAAAAGGCCCCTTACATATCCAGCAATCGGTTGCTTTATTGTATGTCACAAGATCTCCTAGCGCCATTATCATTTCTGCAGGTGCTGATAAGTCCTCCTGTATGTTTGCCAACTCCTCCTCAATTTTTGTAACGAATTTTTCAAGCGCATCTGGGCCTCTGTATAGATCATAACTCATAATCTCATAGTTTAAAAAGCTGTCCATGCATACAACAACGTAGCAATAGCCACACGGCTTGTGCATCTGTATTCTTTCAGTATTGGTTAACTTTGTTTTTTCTTCTGGGGTTAGATTTTTGGTTAAACATTCTAAATCCCAGAAAATATGATATGGGTTTGGTTGCATGCATTTATGATTATAGAAAGCTTTGACGCTCCTATCTTTTATAGGCATTTGAGATTGCTAAGGAGCATTATTTAGACCTTTGCATTTTGGTATATGCTCTTTTAATCCTTTCTCTGCAGAATATACATGAAGACAATATCGGCAGAGATATTTTCGTCCTTTATGCTTACTATGATTATATGCCAACTTATGCAAATTTTTGATTATGCAGTAATGGCTTCTATTCTCTTCCGTTATTACTAGAAGATTTACTTGCTTATATTCATCTCTCCTTCTTTCTGAAATATAATGAAATTCTAGAAATTCATTCTGGTTGTGCTATTCATAGACACATAGACTGATTTCAGGGTTATTTTCTTCGAACTTTTTATAAACTGGTGTAGAAACCGGCACTGGAATTGGAATATCTTCCATATTAAGTTCCTCTATGAAACCTCCATATAGCTGATGTAGATTTCTTTCTGGATGAATTTTAACTGGATGTAAAGCTTCTAGAACACTCCATCTAAAACACCAGTCATCATCATTTTGAATATTTATAATTCTATTATTACGTTTTGGCAAAGTTTCAGGCAAAGGTATATAGGCAATAGGACCAATCAGATTGAAATCAGCTATTTCTATACTAAATTCTTCTATATATTCTGAGTAAGCATCAGACATTTGGTATATTAGTTAGTTCTAACCGTTGCGCTTTTACTTGTTTATAAAATTTTTCTTTAATTAATTAATTATTATATATGTAGAGTACATATCACTTTTCGATCCCGTCCTCTCGAAACCAGATATTTTTAGTAATAAAAAAGTAGGATGATTGGTGAATATTTGTGCTTATATCTTAGCAACTCCAGAGTGGCTTGCAATAGGCCTTGCATTCGTCTAGAAGGTTGCTAATTCCATTGGAAGGCTAAAAAACGAGTACCATGCTCTGATTGCGGGAAGCCTATGGCATCTGCTTGTGGCCGATGCCCAGCACATATCAGAGGGTACTATGTTACCCAGTACTATGATAGATTGCGAGCTAAAGCTTTAAGCTAGAGCCTCTTTTTGACTAAGGATCTTTTATAAAGAATGTTAAGTTATTTTTATTAGACTTATATGTTATTTTATGCGTTTCCCGGTGCAGAGACACTTTCTAATACATTGCTTTTTTGTTAGATGTATAAAATTCCTGGCAGGACGAAATCATTAGATTTATTTAAAATATGTAAAATAACAAGCTGTCCTCTATAGAAACATTTCCTAATATACATTTTTCATTAGACATAAATTTCCTGGCAAGGCGGAATCGTTAGACTTAAATTCCCGGCAGGGCGGAAGGAAAAGTTGGGACAAAATTCTCGTTAGACTTTTTTTAATAATTATACTATTTAATGAGCTAGAGCTTGTAGAAGCCATTCTTGTTTATAGGTAAGTTCATTAGATTTAAACCAATCACGTGATATTTGATATGCTAATTAACGTTTAAATCTCTTTAGAAGCAATTCTTGAATAGTTAGAGATATTAATAAATAAGTCTAACGGTCTGTTAGACTTATTTCTTCGTTAGACTTATTTTTGTCCCAAAACTTCTAAACACATATTAGGGCTTCTAGAGCTTTTAGAAGCTCTTCTAGATATGTATACGATAAGTTTTGGATTTTGGAACAAAGCCATTAGAATTATTTTTCATTATACTTATTTATGGGTAATAAGGACCGTTAGACTTATTTTTCGTTAGACTTATTAATATTAAAATAAAGCTTCTAGAACCTATTAGAAGCCCTTCTAGGGATATAAAATAAATCTAATGATTCTACGAATCATTAGACTTATTTTTAAAATATTCAAATTGGCCTTCTAGAGGCTCTTAGAAGGTTTTCTAGATAAAGTTAGACTTATTCGGTCCCAAAAGCCCCATACTGACATTGTGTATATCAAAACTCGATATATATTAAAAATCGATACGTTTCGATTATTAACGATGTTTATCGATATAGCATATTATGCTATGTATCATTAATAATCAAAACGTATCGATTTTCAATACATATCAAGTTTTGATATTAATCGATATATTTCTAAAAATGAATAATATCAAATTTAATAAATCGATTAATATCGATATATAACAAATGTTAACGGTATTTATCGAAGTTTTTAAAAAATTGATGCAATTCAGTTAATTGCTACATATATATATATCAATTAATATCTATTAAAATTTTCTGATACTAGTATTATGACACAGATATAATTTTAAATATATATACTTAATTTTATAATATACTTGTTAAATTTTTAGAACATAAAACTATTTATTAAATATTCATTTGTTTTGTCAAATCTTAGAACTATATATACAGTTTTATCGATACTATCTATTGGTATACAACTATATTGTTTAACTAATCTTAATCTTGAACAATCCCATAGTTGATCATCCTCCTCATACCAATGAATATAAGCGAACTCAAGTGGTTCTTTATCTAAAGCTACGTAAAACTTAAATATTAACAGTACCTATAAAAAAAAATATTAATATCAAATTAAATAATAAGCTAGAAAGTTAATATTCTAATTTACATTATATATTGCTTATTGTCGATATTATTGAGTTAGTATGTTATAAAAAATATAATATTTTAAAATAATTCTTACCAAACTATACCAATTTATGTTTTTCTTCAACTTCACCCCTAATAATAATATTAGAAAACATCGGTTTACCATGAAAATTAGATGAAGCACAAATTATATCAGTACTTTCTAATGCTGCTGAAGAAAAAATTCTAATTGATGATCATCATGAATAAACACTAGTGATTCCTTTTCAAAAAATTTATCAAGACCATTTAACAGATTATAAAAACTATTGATTTGTAATGAGTCTAATTCATTTATATTTTTCTGAATAAATTGATCCAAATCTTCTAAATTTAATTTCCACAGAGGTTTTCCGAACTCTTTTGATTTTCAGTATTTTTTGGGTACTTCATTTTCAGTTAACTTATATTGTTTAATCTAAAAAATAATTGATTGTTAGTGATAATTTTTACTGGTTAAAAAAATTAAATTTTAACGAAATAATATCTCATAATATATAGTACAAATAATAATTTAATTACTAAATAATATACGTATTTAATAGATTTACTAGTAAATCTATTAAATATGTATATTATTTAGTAATTAAATTGTTATTTGTACTATATAT